ACGTTGCCCTGTTTGATTATTTCCACAGGAAATATTTATCTCCATGAAAGTGTGAAACACTCACAGGTCAATAAACAACCTTCTGTACATACAGAAGAACCAGTTCTTCAGTTTCATACAATTCAGTTCCAGGAATCTTTCACCAATTTGCTCTTTTCAGTTTGTCTGAAGCTGGACAAGATGTTTTCTTTCTTCACTTGAAAGATATTGTTGCTGTCATTTCCTCAGGAAATGTCATGGTGCACAAAGAGCAGCAACACAAATAAACCTTCTGTACATACAGAAGAACAAGTCCAGAACATCCCATAGAACTCAGTCCAATAATCTTTGACCAATATGGTCTTGTAAATGTTGTCTGCCAGTCATTCCAGGGTGTAGGTGTCTACCACGGCCTCCAGGGGGCGCTGCTGACTGGACTCTTGTCTTTTGGTGATGCTGGTCTGGACTGTGGAGCTGAGAGGAGACAAGTGGCTCTCTGTCAGCTTGTTGTCAGAGGAAGGCTGCAGCTTGTTGAAGTGCTCCAACAGTCTTCTCTGGGACTGTGTCTTCATCTCCTCCTTGGACAGGAAGCTCAGCACCTCTTGGACACAGCTGGAGTAGCCCTGATCCACAGCTGCTGTGTTCACAGCTTCATGCTGCTGCTGCTGCTGCTGCGTCAGGAAGCAAAGTGTCATCTCCAGGATGTGTGCTTTCTCCAGCTTGGAGTCTGGCTGCTGTTTGAGGAACTCTGGACCCAGGAGAGACTTGAGCTGCTCAATGCTGCTGTTGATTGGCTCTCTGCGTAGCTTCTCCACCAGAGGCTTTCTGAGCTGCACACAGAAGAACAAAGTCATTAAAAACATGTTCAGGAGTTTAACTTTAATACCAACAAATACAATCTGTCATCAATGATGACTGAGTCTCCATGAAGTTCCAGTTTACCTTGTGGCTCAGAGTCAGATGCTCCTGAGGAGTGGTCACGGCTGCAGTGATTGTAGGTGCCATGGTTGGATGTGTGAGCTGTAGAGGTCTCTGTAGGGAGAATGTGATGTGTGCTGGTTTCATCCCTCCTATTTATAGTCCCACATCTCCATATCAATGTGTGGCTCTCACTCTGCTTGAGGTTTCCCACAGTCTCCACCAATCAGAGCATCAGAGACAAGTCAAAGGAGATCTGTCCCGCCACATGCTCAGTGCTCACATTAGCAGGGGACAATAGTTGGATCTCAGGGGAACAGCTGGAGGAGCTCTATGTGGATGTGGGAAAGTGGTGACCCTGTAGAGAGCAGATCTGCTGCCTGATGCTGGGATCAATGACTCTGACTGAGCACACGCTCATCATGCCTTCACACATCTCGGAGAACGTTGTTTGATTCCATCTGGGATGAATGTGCAGCGATACTGGTATCAGCTGGGAGGAAACACTGCAGAGGAAACATCTGAATTGTATTGTTTGTTACAGATACTGTTGCTGTGATGTGATTTGCATCATAAACTTTGATTGTCAAGGTTCTGTCTAGTAATCAGCTAGAACATATTTGACTTTTACAACATGAAATACCATCAATAAGATGACCGACACACAAGGAGGAGGGCAGGAAATTATTTATACCAGTTTAAACCAGAGTCAATCTTTGTCTCCTTTTCTTTTTGTGTTCTGGGCATTTGTCAAGGAACCATTAGTTTGTGATGTAAGCCTGACTCTAACCCATAGATTGTGTGTCATCCAGCTCATATGAATGTCCCAGCGTTCTGAACAAAGTCATAACTCTAAAGGTGACTCATTGTGGAATATACTTCCCCCAAAAATGAAGGAAATCAACAACAAGCTTAACTCTGTACGCTGGGTTCTGGAAGTCCTTTAAGAGCCTTTAAAGGTCTGTGTCAATGAAATGAGAAATATAAACACTTTGGCTGTCACCAAACCAAATACATCATTGGACAGGTCTTCTGGAGAATGACATATGTCAATATGGCCGCTCTACATGGCTCCTTCTATGACCAACTGACCTCTGAACCTGGACCTCAGTGCATATTCGAAGGCCTATCATTTAACAATGAAAGAGGCTAAAGGTATGGGGCCAACTGTTATCTAGAGCGCTTGACCTTAGCTGTCATGTGGTATACCCACCAAGTGGGGGCGCTGTCAAATATGGATAACAGACACAATCACACATTCATCAATTAGATTCTTAAGATCTGAATCCACAGTTGGGTTCAGCGTCCCTTTAAACCCCCAGTGTTTTGTTAACTCAGTATTTGCACGTTTAAATGAGACACAAAATGCTCCTACAGTGTAAAAACTACAATTCCCTGTAGCAGTGCTATGTAGCTGAAAGTAAATGAGCGCCATGATTGTAGTTCTTAAAGTTTTCAGAACAAGCAGAAATTATAGGGTTACAAAAAGATATTTCTGTTCTGTAAATCAAATACTTGATGAAGCCGAACTAATGATTACACTACTTTTAGATGATATATGTTGATAAAATGAGGATATGATGGCTTACTTGGGATATAGAACCTTTTCTTAAATAACGAGGGTGTGGGCTGAGAGTATGTCCGGTTCTACAGTTGTATGTAGGGCCTGAAAATCCAGAACTGACTCCATCTTTCAAACATATTGTACAGCTGAACTGTCAGTTACTTACTAACTAAATCATCTGGGGTGAGAAAAAGTAAATATGTGGGTTTGATTAAGATATTCTAGTCACAGCATTTCGTAAATTACAGCTTCCACCGGACGTGTCAGATTGACATAGAGAGCAGGAAGAGAAAAGAAAAAAGAAGAAAAAACAAACAGTGGGTTCCTGTCGGACTGGATCGGGAGTCTTCTGTATCAGCGCTGCTGATCGGTGATGTAAATAGATGATAACGACCGACTGGACCTGCTAGGAGGCAGAGTAGGGATCTATTGTCCCATTCGAATGGTAGCGATGTGCGGATCAATACTGAAATGTCAATACTTCCGATACCAGATCTTTACGCTCTAACATCGATTCTCAAATCAAAACATCGATACTTTTGATACTTCAGTCATCTGAGGTAACGTATATCATCACCAGGAGCACAGTGGAAAGTAACTAAGCTATGGTCTTGTCTAAATGACACGTGGTTGGTTTTTCTCCCGCTGCAGCGCTCAGCCCACTCCTGTGATGCTGCCTGGCTGCAGCTTCCTGGTGTGCTGCTGAGAAGACAGCGCTGAGGACTGAGGATTGAACAAAGAGCTCCCTCTTGTGGACAAATGGAGCAACGGCAGCGTTGAACAGTGCTGTAACACTGAACAGCAGTTGGCGTTTTGTGAGAAAACAAGCAGACGGTGAGCCACAACGTGAGCAAAATGTAATGATGTGTTCGTTGTCAAGATCAGGATGGTTATCAGGCTTCTGCAGAGCTTGATGATGAGCTGATTATTAGAATCAGGTGTGTTGGAAGAGGGAAACATCTAAAACATGCAGGATTGTGGCCCTCCAGGACCAGGATTGGACACCCCTGTTTTAAAACTTCCTCTCAAACTAAAGGGAAAAAATGAGAAGTTTTGCTTTTGACCTGCAAAAGCAGTAGAGGTGGTAAATGCTCAGATCCCACCGAGTCTGGAGTCAGAGCGGCTGTCCTGCTGCAACAACCTTTCAAATCTCCTGCAAACGAGGAAACTGGCATTTTGTGGCACACATTTACGTTGGCCTCTGCTCTGTGAAGCCTGCAGTGCATCTAAAGACTCGATGAGTTTCTGTCACCTGACGGTTGTTCACAGTCAGTCAGGCTTCATGGCTTCTCGGTTGCACCGAAATGCTCAGTTTTTTTTTTGTTCGTTTTTTCTTTTACAGAGTCATGGAGAAATGGTTTATTCTTGCCAAAGTTCTTTTTTTCTCTCTCTATTTATATCTATATCCATCTCTCTATATATATTTATCTATCTATATCTTTAGTTACCTTATAATGTAACAGATATTATTTATTATTATTGATGTCACTACGTTTGTTGGGTCATGTCTTATCTCTGTCCTCCATGTGTATACCTCTACAGTAGTCTGGTTCTCTCTTCAGGGTGGGGATAACACAATGTACGGTGAGCGAGAGCCCCGAATCAAGATGGCCGCCAGTGTAGCCGTGCGACTCCATTGGCCGACAGCCTTTATATATATGTATCTAAGGACAGGCTGCTCCAGCAGGTGAGCTAAAGCGGCAGCCTCATGCGGCCGGAGCAGAGTGACGGGGTCGCGAGCTAATTCACAGCTGGAGCCCCGGGAACTGAGACACGACATGTTTGTCTGTGAGCTTCTCGTAGACACCAGAGAAGGTCTCCACCTGAAACACAGCGGCAAAAAAAACCCCCAAAAAAACCCAAAAAAACCCTCAAAAATAGAAATTTAAAACAAACAAACAAACAAACAGAAGTCATCGCTCAATCCCGGTTTACTTTAAGTGAAAAGCAGGGTTCACCTGGACACGTGTGAGCACAGAAGCATCGAGTCATGTCCATCTTTTCATTCAGCTCTTAGCAAGAAACATATTTTGCACAATCTCAGACTGTTCCTTTGACATAATGTCGCCGATACGCGGCGGGGAAGTTTAAACAACGCATGAGAAAGTGGACAGCTGACTCCCAAAACCAAAGAAGATGCTGATGTTGAGCCAGCAGAGTCCATGTACAGTCAGGATGTCTGGCAAAACAATCAACCAGCCACAAAATACACCTCAGAGGAGTTGTACATGAGCAAAACATCACAGTTCATGAGACTTTTTCTGACGGCGTAGAACAATAATGAATATTCACAGTACAGCTGTGCTTCAGCGTCGCTGTTCTTTGACCTCAGACGACCAAGGTGGTTTGCGATATAAATACCTAAGGCTATCCTAAGACATGGTAGGCAACGACATTTCAAGAAAGGTTTATTTCTTATGAAAGCATTCATTGATTTTTGTTTCTTTTAAACCCTGAGTTCTCACCACATGACAGCCGACTGGTACGATGTGCACCGAAGAGAAACAGCAAACGACGACTTCTGTCTGATCGAAACGAGGAGAATCTGTGTCGGAAACATGCCCGACAGAAACATAACAGAAAACATTTTCACTTGTTAAACCATAAAAAGAACACATGGTATGGCTTGTTTTGTCTAAAAAGGAGCTGAATGTCATAATCAGTGTAAAACTGTACATACACATGGAATGACACTTGTTGTGCAAGAACAGTGGCCTCGAAACATCTACAGACATGTCATCCACAACGAGTGGGCGCTGTACAGCATCCAGAGAGACCAAGACGCATTGAAGGCACTTTAAAGAGTCACCGTGAACCTCTCTCTCATCCGGCCATGGCACATCTGTTTCCCCACAGTAAGACATCGAGTAACTAGAGGCCTGAGAGATCAACGCTTCTGTTGGTTCTGAATTATTAGAAGCACGTTCACACCAGACAGGCAGGAAGCAGTTCACCATCATGTCGTCTGTTACTCCCTGGCTGGGAAGCAGCCTTTGCTGAGGTTTCCACTTGACAAATGTGCAAAACAAAATCGAAGCCAATCTAAAACCCTTTGCAATATTGCTAGTGCTATTTTGGAAAACAAACATTTCAGAGTCAAAAAGACGTGACAGCTGTTTGAACGAGTTTGAAAACCTGCCTCGGATGTACAAAAGATCAACGGTTTTCCTTCAGGCACAATCTAAAGCACGTTACAGGAAACAGGGTTGTACAGTGTGTGCATAAGTCGTCGCCTGTCTGTCTGTCTGTCTGCTAATGTGGAGCCCTTGTGTAAAAGCACTGATCTAGTCGAGTGAATCAACTGCAAAGAGGCACTAATCATCACGTTTAGAGAGATGCTTTCAGAGGTGAGCACTTTTACAGGCTGTACGTTTTACATGTGTGTGGCTAGATGGCACTGTTCCCATAAAAATAATAACATGATTCACAGCTCAGCTGTAATTCAAAACACACACACACACACACACACACACACAATCACACATGCACTCATACCTGAACAGACTTTTTTTTTTTGCTTCACTAGAACACATCCGTTATTCTAAAACCACTTAAACAGTCTCAATTTGTCATCAGCCACAAAATAATAATAATAATAATAATAATAAAGGATGAGTCCTAATTTGACATCCTCACCCACCGAAAAGCAGAAAACACCCCTAATTTAATACAGCGAGAAGTCACGCTGCTTTCTCAGGATTCCTTTAGTGTCGGGCTGCTGTCTGGATCCGGAGCAGATGAGACGAGGATTTTGACCAACGAGGGGTTTCTTCTCAGGCCTGCCCATGCAAATGTCCCCACATCCGTCCCCTCGCTCAGAAAAGTCCCACCATGTGATCGATCTGCCGCATGTAGACGCTCTTCAACGGCAGAGTGTAGCGCCGCTCGTCTGGGATCCGGTTACACTGCAGAGAGCAAAGGACAGACCGTGACTACGACAGGGAGAGGGGACTTTTTTTGGCCATAGTAATAAGTGAGGACATTGTAGATGTCTCACGTTGCTGATGTTGCTCGGTGCCGGCTGGTTCTGTGGCTCTCTTTCTGCCAGCGCTCCCTCCTCACACGGGAACAAGTCGTTCCACTGTTTCTCCCTGAAGCGCTTGTCTATAGGCACGACGTGGCCCTCTGTGGTGAAGATGTACTTGTTGTCGGATTTGTGGAGCGGGTTGTCCTCGTCAAACAGCTGCAGAAAGGTGTTTATTTATGAGGCATTGCGGACAGGGGGCTAAGCCAGCAGTGAATCACAATGTTACACCAACAAACCAATTAAAGTGAGATTCTTGATGAAACACGTTGACACTGACATCGTGTTGCTTAGCCGCCCATTCTGTAGGACACGACGATCTGGCTTCATTATCGGGCTGATGACGGTTAAATTAAAACGCTCTGACCTGCTAGCATTTCTTTAAACGATCACTAAACGAGGGACGCAGCTTCAGTGTTCCCTTAAAGTAGTGATGGGAGAATTGTTTTCATGGAACATTCGTACATCACGAACAAACCTCATGATGAGAACTGTTCTTCATGGAGGGCTCTCAGTTTAGAACGTGTTCCTGACCAGTATTAGGGTATTAGACAGATTAAAAACAGATGTTCCTTTAAGAAGTCACTAAAACTCAAATCGATGAATCACATGTACGTTTTGTTCTGGCAGTTCTGGAATATTTTTTATGTTTTTTAGTGAATTTTATTTTCTTTACTCGGTGCTGTGAGTCTGTGACAATTTTTGATTTTTTTTTTCCCCCAAAACTTTTCTTGTCTTAACTTTGGGTTGATGATAAATGATGTCGTCTCACTGATATGATTTTAAATTCATGTACTTTTACTCGTGAACGGACCCCAGGAAGACTAGCAACCACCTTGTGTAGGCTGCTGTCCAGAAGTTGTTGCTGTTTCCTGAAGGACACTGGATTTTGAGCAAAAGTGGAGGACAAAGCCACCTAAAACGGGCCAATGGCAGGTTTATACCATCAACTATTGATGTTTTAAGAGATGCTAATCATCAATTAACTGTCAATTATCAGGCAAAAATCCAAACTATTTGGTCGAATTGCTGTTCTGTTCTTTATAAATTGAACATCTCTGCAACTGCTGATTTCAACGAGCTGAGCAGGTTCAGAAAGAAGCAAATTCTGGTTGTATTTTCACTATTTTCTGCCATTTTAACAGTTAATCTGTGACAAAAGCAGCAATTTACGACTAAAATAAATGAGCAAAATGGGATTACTTACACATAGAAGACTGTAATTTTAAAAAATAATAATAAATACTTGACTGCACTCTCCTCTTAAAATCCATTTCATCTATTGCAGTCACTTGAATCGTGTTATCGTGCTCCCATGTGATGAAGCTCCATCTCTGTTGGTCTCCGGCTGGAACTCACCAGGTACAGGTATTTGCAGGTCTCGCTCAGGAAGAAGCTCTCCATGCGGTCCTCTTTGGATTTGTCCACGACGTGGTGCAGAGTTGCGTACCCACATCTGCAAACGGCACAGCTCGGCTCAAATCACACACATAAAAGCAACACGAGAAGAAATGTGTATTGGACATAATCACATGATCCACACCTGACTTTGGCATTTTTCTCAAGGCTCTGAAGAATATCCATCCCCACATGCAAATAGAAAGGATTTTTGGTCGCCTGTAGAAAGGAAAAAGAACTCCTGTAACAGATTTAACCAACCACCACCACCGCTGCTGCCAATGCTGCGTAACAACAACACGTCAGCGCTGTTACCTGGTACAGCAGGTAGGTCGACTCCACCAGCTCCGGCCTCAAAGGGTAGAAGAGCACATCGGGAGCCTGCAGCTGCCAGTTGTACCTCTCCGGCAGCGCTCCGAAGCGCTTCCAGATGGCGTAGTAGAAAGCGTGCAGGCAAATGGCGTTGTCCACGTCGCCATTCAGCACCTGTAACGCAGAGCAGAGCGGGATTACCTCGGTTCAACTCCTTTTTTTCTTTTTTTTTTGAAGCGTTTACATAAGATCTCTGAAAGTACGCACCTGCAGCCCAGGAAAGAAGGCCTGAAGGGAATCGATCCAGGTGTTCATGATCTCACCGCTGAACATGTTCACGTTCACGTAGAGGGGTGGGTCGCCCTCGCCTTCGTTGCATGACTCCCTTCTGTAAGACCAGCAGGAGAAAGGCTTTTGACAACCAGCTCCAAATGAGAGACAGAGAGTTGTGTCACGTCAGCACAAACATCCAAATGCTGACACAACTAAAGTTATTTTCGCCTTTCGCCACTGAGGATAGCTAGCATTATGTGCTTTACAGCTACTGTAGCTACATGCGGTTACTGAAGAGGAAGGAGTCTGTGTGGAAATGGGGACGCCCCGTCATCGCTGACATGAAAGTCACGCCTCAGGATTCACATTTCCACATCGCTCAGTGAGAAGAGCGACACTGGAAACCATCGGCGGTTTCACTTCATCCAGACTGATTTGCGTAGTTTCTCATTTCAGTTGCGACCTCGGGTGAAGCTTCCCGATGACGCCAACGTGCACGCCCACCCTCTGCCGTGTCACGCTAACGCGGGACTCACCCTCTTCTCAGGTGGTTCTGTATGCTCTCGTAAGCAGCCTGAAACATGCGGTAGTCCTCCTTCTCGCCGAAAAGGATGTAGGACTTCAGCAAATACTCGTAGAAGGAGTCCATACCAGCTCCAAGGCCGCTCTGCTTGCCAACCCACTGGCCTGTTTGGATGTTAACTACATTCCCTGAAATAAGAAATCACAGAGTTAAATTATTCAGGCATCATATTTACATTTAGCCTTTATCATTACTGGGAGAAGCAGACATAAATAACACAAGGAAGGTTTTCTCACATTGCACGGCTGTACTTACCCAACAGACCGGTTTCGTTGCTCCTCAGGTTCCACAGAGCTCTGACGGCCCGTCTCGCTACCCACTCAAATGTGGAATCTCCAATCAAGCGACTCAGAATCCCAAATTCCACCAGCAGGGACCCGGCGCCGGCGGTACAGGTCTCGTTGATGCTGTCAGGAGGAACGCCGCTCTTCAGGTTCACCTGGTGGGTATAACACAGCCACTGAGTGACGCTTCTAGAAGTTTTACTCGCACCATAGCTACCACGTAACGGCGTCACTCACCCTGGGGTAGGGGATCCCCGTGCTGGTGTTCTCGAAGGCTGGCAGCAAGCGGACAGCCAGGTCGTGAGCCAAGTGCAGCAGCTCGTTATCGTAACCGTCGAAGCCCACCTCGCCAAATGGATGCTTTGGGTCAGTCAGCAGAATGTGCGCTGAGATCAGGCTTCCCAAGATCCTTCAGAGAAAAATGAAGGATTACACCGGAGCCAATGCAAAAGTAGATCTAGACTTTTTGGTGATTTAAGATGAAAAAAAAAAAAATCAGAACGGCTGCAGTCATGTAAGTGCTCAACACCAACCCTGGTCAGAGCAGTAATCATGTATTTGATCTTTACAACTAAAAATGATGTCTGGCCTGCTTCTGTGCTTCTGATTTGTATTTGTACAACTGGAACCATATATTTCCCTCGAATAAGGAAAGGAATACGGTTTAAAGTAAGAATGACGGGCGGACGACAAAAACTTTTGTGCACTCAGTTGTTTAAGAAAGACTTTGAAGATGCAAAGGTGACAATGCTGTCTACTGAAAGGCATTACAGACACTTTAATCCCTTCTATAAACCACCCTGATGACTCATTTTAACTTTAGCATGTTAGCTTCTGAACACACTTGTGGCACTCGTACCTGATGTTTGCCTCGAACACTTGGACAGTCGAGTCCTTGTCAAAAGACACGGTATCTATAACCAGCTTGACGGCTCTGTGGAATTCTGTCACGTTGCCGAGCACCTGACGAGGAAAAAACACACTATAACCACATTAAATGAACATTTTTCTCGATGAGATCTGAACGTTCTGTTTAGGAATGTGGACGCTGCAGCTGAAAGGAGAACAGCCGGTCACGTCGGTTTAAGGCCGGCACAGAAACACTCACAGCTGACTCCACGCACGAGATGGCAAGAAAGCCACAAGTTCCTACAGAGGAAGACCTAACCACCGCTGCACCAGATGTAGCAGCAGGTAGAAGATCGTGTACAAACTTTACTTTTCTACACAAAGCGCCTCCCAAAGCTCCTGTTTACAGTCACTTAGAATCAGTATGCAAATTACTCTTATTGATTCTGCCACGAGAAAAGAAGCTCTCCTAAACTTTGCAGGACATTGTGAAGACAAAAGACACCAGAAAACAACTTACCAGCAGGGTGTCTAAGGTGTCAATGAGTGTCAGAGAGTAGTTCCCCAGGACGTCATTTATGTTGATGTTGGACCTGAAACAGAAGCAGTGAGACAGACTGTGGCGTCACGCACGAGTGGACGTCACGATTAACTGATCACAAAACAGATTTTAAAACGTTTAGATGTGAGCGTAAAATCTTCTCCTCGCATTGACATGATGGAAAGAACAACAGACGTTTTAATTAATTTACTGTTGACTTGTGAGAGCGTATTAAATCCAAACAGAGCTGATCTGGAGACAGATGGTCGCTGTTCTCTATTAACAGCATCGTCACAATTATCAACATAATGTGCAGGTTACTACTTGATTAATCAGTTTGGTCTTTAAAAGTCAGAAAATAGAGAAAAAAAACTTCTCTGACTTGTTTTGTTCAAGCAACCATCCAAAACCCAAATACAGAACATTAAATTAATCATTAAATATGAAAAGAAGGAAATCGTTACAATTTAGATTCATTTTTGTGAGGATTCAGTGATTAACTACCAAACCTTTATTTTACTTCTACTAGAGGCACTTATGATTCCTGCTGCAGCTCTGCACGTTCTGTACACACGGAAAGCCGGTTTGATTTAAACTCAAGACAAAAGCTGTTTTAAAAAGTGCCGTTTGTGTGGCGGAGCTGGAAGGAAAGTTGATGGATAACACTGTCTGTCGCTGAAAGTTTCTGCTTTAAAAGAAGCTGTCTAAACTCAAGACAAGCGTTTATCATCTCGTACACGACTGAGACGACTTCCTGAATAGAGTTGTCATTGTTCTTAGCTGCGTCAAAGGAAATCCATTCAAAGCAATTATATTTATATTTCGAGGCGGACATCTCAGAACCTGTCACCTCTTGAACAGATTTGCTTTTATTTGACATGTCTGAGACGCTTCTGGTGACATTTCAAGAGCGTTCCTGCACAAACTCATCTAGAAAAAACTCCCAGGAGGTTAGTTCAAGTGCAGAATAGTTTGGTTTTCTTTTAGGTTAGCCTCTGTTTAGCAGATTTATTTCCATTGTTGTTGTTTAATTTGTTTGTTTTGCACATTTCACACCATGATTATTAGCAGTAACAGCTGAACTGTTAACACAAGGCGGTGAAGAAGAGGGAAACTTCTGATCAGGTGACACATTACAAATGTTCACACATGAATAAATCAGAACGCTCTCTGACATCTGGCCCGTCAGGTTCTCTGCTCCTCCCTGACTTATAAAAGCCTCTTTGATTTCAGCTCTACCAGTGCACAGTGCATTTTACACCTCTGAGTGGAACACATTCACACAAAGATGAGAATTACATGGACAAAAACCTCTTGCAAAGGCTGGACTTGTGCAAAGAATATATTACCTAGTTATGCACTGGATATACAGTGTTGAATTAATGCTGGTTTTCTAGTGTTTTCTAGGTTTTAGACTGAACAATGTGCACCATTCTGTCATTCAATGAACTGTTAGCTGCAGCCTTTTCCCCTCTATCAGAACCAGAGCACGCATTTTCTTACTCACCATCCCAATTTTAAATGGATGATGAAGAAAACAGTTCCTCAACATGACAGAAACCCCCCGCGGTCCCATTAAGACCAGTTTACTTCCCAGTGACCGGAGTGCAAGCCGCCACCTGTGCGGCAGGGGGCAGCACTGAGAACAGCAGTAGCCGCAGCAGCAGCGGGTGCACCGGCAGCTACTTTGACTACAAAGTAAATGCAAATTGCGCAGAGGACAGTTAGGACAAGCGGGTGTCCGGCAGTGTGTGCTGGGCTTCACGGCCAGTTCAGCGCGGAGTCACTCACGGGTTTAGCACGTCTGGACCCCTCCCTTCACAGTCAATGGGATTCAGCTCGTCCTCAGGAAAGGCATATTTCATATAATTGTCATATCCGAAATAGAACATTTCTTTGGCCATGTCTTTCATCTTTGCTTTGAGCGTGTCCGGGAAGGAGCTGTATCTCCGCACGTACTCGTCCTTGTTGCCGTCGAAGAAGCTCAGGTAGGACCTCTTGGGTCTGGACTGCTCTCCAGCCTTCGCACAGGTGGTCGCCGCCTCTTCATACCGCTGACCCTGTATGCGCTGGGACCAGGAGTTTCCGCTCGCCTCGGTGCCCTTTTCCTCCCTGAACAGCAAGTCCAGTTTGTGCAAATTGAAGCTGAGGTGGAAGTTGAAGCCCCAGCTAACGCTCGGTCCCAGTCCGAAGGCTAACCACAGCACGCAGCTGAGGGACAGTCTCAACACGACCAGACCAACTACTATCGACCTCCATTGCATCTTTGCCCCGGGTCGGTCTTAAAACGCATAATTCACGTCCACATCCCTCCGAGGCGGTGAACGAATAAAGAAATCCGCCGTTTGTCGGGCTAAACTAGCAGGAGAGGCAGCGGTAGTGATTCCGCCTCACACACTTCCTGTCAACAAACCAGCCCCTCCCAGATCCCCGCGCCTGATTGGCTCCTGGCGCCTGTCGTCATGGACAGCTCGCCCTGTGATTGGCCGCCGCGCTGTCAGTCTGCTCGTTTCGTTTCGTGGCATTCCAGACGTGTCTTAATTTAACTTCTGCGCCAATAGAAAAGAGCCACAAGAGTGAAACGCTCCGAGGTGCAGAGGTTCAAAACCGAAGAGTGACTTGGTTGGATGTAAATATACAAAAATGCAAAATTAGAAAGGCCAGCTGATCACAAATGTGAAGAAAATTTAGGCAAAAAAATGAATATTTATTCTGCATAATATGAAGTAAACCCAAAAGTTGAAGTGCTGCCTTTATTAATACATCATAAGCCATGAGTTAAAATAGTATAATAGATGTTAATCTTTCTGATTGATCTACTAGAGAAGAGTTGTCTGATTATTGCTATTTACAAATTATAAGATTCATGAGGTTTTCCAAAATAAAGTGTTTAAAAAAAACAGCACATTACATATATTGTCTTTCTCAATAAAAATCAGTCACCACTAACTATGTAAAGATCTAAACACTTGTCCATATGAAAACATTAACATCTGAAGTGAGAGACAAGAGTTTATTACAGCTGAACAAGTGTGGCTCTTGTTTAAGACCCAAATCTGTGCAGTCTGAGTGGTCTCACAGCCAGAACGCAGCCGAATACGCTGGCTGCACTTCATTAAGGGGAACAGTCTTTGTAGTTTGTACTTCTTTAAACCAAGTTAAACTGTATTTGTCAGAGATAAGTCAAGAATGCAGTAGCAGCAGCATCCCCTCACAGCACAGGGAGAAAAACACACGTCATCTAAATCCCTCATTCACCACAAAAAAACAAGTTTGCTTTATTATCCACCTTCATGCTCCACAAAAACAACTCACCTGTAGCTGCTTTGGATGAGCACAGGTGTCCTATTCTCAGCTGTGCCCATAACAAGTGTTAATGAAATTTAGCAATTTCCCTGAGGTCTTGTACCGAAGGGATCAATAAAGTTTTATTCTAATTTTTATTCTAATTCTAATGCTTAAAAGTAATACGTCAGAGCTTCTGTTCCCCCTGAACCAGAATGATGAGGCCAGACCACTGGACACGGCGCTAGAGAACGGTCTGACTATGTTCTAATAACAGGTGCAACAGCTTGTACATTATGGCTTTTACTTACAGTCTGTCATCAATACCATTAACACACAGTCATTCCCATGTGTGCACACAACCCTCTGAGACAGCTCATTTTACTTTTAATTCACCGTAATTCTAAATGGGAACTTTAAAGCCTGTTCAGGTTTCACTTTGCCCTCTTGTGCGGACCGTGTGGGTGTGTACATCTCGACCCAGCAGCTTCCCTCTGAATTTTATACCTGTTACCGATGCTTGGAGTTTGGTCACCTGTAATCCCCGACATGACTCACCCATCATCAACCTGAGCAGAGCTATAATCAGCTGGTAGTTTAATGCCTGTGTGGGTGTGTTTTTCCCAGAACTACAAACAACAGGACAACGTCTAAATTAAAAAGCATGCCTTTTTATTTCTCGTACATAATGAAGTGGTGTTTATCTCTACCCGGGTAGGCACACCTTGCATGCTGCTTTGCTTCAGAGGTGAGAGACGCTGCACAAGGCACTTTAGATCCTGCCACTCTCTCAGCTTCGAGGCAGCACAAAGGACATCGTTCCACTGAGGCTACTCACAAACAGAGGCCGACACGAACCACACAACCCCTTTAACTTTTAGTACATTCAGACTTTAAATAGAATCATATATTCATACACACACATCCCACATCGGTAAAAATCATACTAGCTTGATATTTGTACAGACCTGCTTCGACTGGCTCGCCCGAATGCACGATTTCCTAAAACGATAGACGCGTCCTTGAAAGAAGGGAACCTGATCAAGCAAAGGCTGACGGTCAAAGACGAAGAGCTCGACAGAAACGGGGGAAACCTGCGTGTCCACATCAGCCATCTCTTGACATCATATCGACTACGTTGACAGATTAAATCCTCCTATGAGAGACCGTAGCTGTACACCCAACTCTAGGTATGATCCATAACGGTAATGCCTGAAGAGCGGAAAGGTAGAACAGGAAATAGGTTCTTAATCGCGGTTAACTTCATAAATTGTACAATGCCAATCGTTAAATTTGGTACCAGAGTTATGTGTTTAGTAGTGCATTGTCTGGGCTTGTGAAACGCTCACAAAGTGACGAGGAGGAGAAAAAAAAAACCCAACACAACCGCGTGACAGAAGCAGAACAGTGCAGCATGTGAAGTGACGACACGACTGTACATCATTGCAGAGTAAATGAGGGTGCGACATGACAGTAACATGGCAAACACGGCTGGAACACGGCTCCCGCGCTTTCAGCTCCTGCGAGACTTTGAGTGCTGGATGAGCCACTGAAGTGTGATATCTGGAACAAAAGAACCATGCAGGGGTCAGTCTTTGGCATTTCTAACTGAACACAACACAGATTTAGCAACAAATACGATTACTGTCATATTAAACTCATGCCAAGTGGAAAAACAAAAGCAGATCATTTACCTTGAAAAGTCTGATGTTATAACAAGATATACTCAAGTTGTTTTCATATTATTACAACATACAAAGAAGTGTTTTTTTAATAGTCATGAAGACATTTCTAACAGAAGGCTCAGTCTATCCTTATGGATGCATCCTCTCCATCAGGAGTATACGTTGCTCTCCGCCCCGGCCTTCATCTGGCAGGACCCCAGGCCACAAAAAAACAGTTCTCCTTTGTGCCTACCTCCATCATAAACACTGAGAAGAGGAGGAACAGGAGGTTTGTGTTGCTGCTGCTGTACTCTATCATGTGCTGTGCTGCAGTTTAACCGGTTTTACTTCATTCTGCCTGCTGGAACACACCTGACTGATTGAATGACCCAGATTGCTGCTAACGTCCCGTCTGTCTCATGTTTTGTGGAATTTTTTTTCATTGTTTGTTTATTGTGAACGCTTGTGTGAGCTGCTGCGTAACAAATCACGCCTCAGGGACAAGGAAGAAGTTCTTATTATACCAATTAATCTTGTAATTACTTGAAATATTTGACATTATACGATGGTGACTGGTTTGATTAGGTTCTGTTTCAGGTGTTACTTCATGTTTGGGTTGAATCACTGCTGCTGAGCCTGGTGGATGATCAGCCACATCTCCATAGAGCCTACATCCATCCATCATCTCTACACCTTAATCCTCACTAGGGTCATGGGGGGCGGAGCCTATCCCAGCTGACTCAGGGTGAAGGCAGGTTCACCTGGACAGGTAACCAGTCTATCACAGGGCTACACTTAGAGACAGACAACCAAGCACACTCACATTCACACCTACGGACAATTTACAATCACCAATTAACCTCAGCATGTTTCTGGACTGTGGGAGGAAGCCGGAGAAACCGGAGAGAACCCACGCTGCACGGGGAGAACATGGAGACTCCTAATGGTGCTAACCACCAGCAGAAGTTAAGGTAGAACCACATCATGTTCTTCAGTTGATCTGTTCTCTTTTTCTTAATGAGTCTCGTGTTATAACAACATACGGCATCACATGGTCGGAGCATGAAGTGTTTTATGTCAAAACAACAGAAGTCACCAGATTATGACATGAAATATTTCACAATCTAAAATACTATCAACAGGTTTCAGCTCACTCTATATGTTGTAATAATGAAAAATGAATGTATACCTTGTTATAACAAGTCATATTTTGTTCCAACACTAAACTTTTCACCTTCTAATTATCTGTTTTTCTTTTAACAAAAAAAGCTGGAACAGTGTTTTCTATACGAACAGTAAATGGAGTGAAAACAAAACTGCAGTAATTCATTTGCAACTTGCCAATGTTGTCTTTCTCTTTGCAGGAAATCGAATAGCAGCATATCTCTCTGTCCTGAATAGCTGCCAGATTCCTGAAAAAAAAGGAGACAAACATGAACAAATAAACGCTGAAGCCCGATCATTCATCTGCCACAACAAAGCACATACTGCTAAATGGACAGTAGAGGGAGCCAGTGAACCACAAATTAAAACCCTCTCCAGTTTCAACCAAAGAGATGCTAAAGAGGACAGAATGACAAACAGAATCCACAGAGTGCTGATGTAGTAACATCAGAGCTGTGTCGGCTTTAATCAGATTAAATATGTTCAGTGTTTTGCACCGTACTTACATTTTCTCAATGAGCTGCTTCTCATCCAGCGCACTGGGGAGATCCCTTTTGTTGCCCAGTACCAAAACCTACAGACAATTGAGATTTGAAACTTGTGCCACGTAATCCAGAGAAACCCACGCGTAGCTCTGCGTGACTACTGTGGAAATCATTAATAAAACCGGTTCTAGTGAAACCACTTACAGGAATTCCTTGCAACTGAGGTTTGTCTAATAAATTATGAAGCTCGTTTCTGGATGCCTCCACCTTTTCTCGATCTGCTGCGTCGACCATGTACCTAAACAGGATTCGAGAGAAATTAGTCACGCATGAACACCGCCGACACTTTGCTGTAGTATAAATTCTGCCTACTTACACGATTGCGTTAACGCCCCGACAGTAGCGCTCCCACATGCTCCTGAACCTCGGCTGGCCTCCTATATCCCAGATCTACAGAAGTGACGGCACATTATCATCACAACATGCTCCTTCCTGTATCAGATGTCATTACCAGTCACTAGATTCTTGTAAAGCCATGATGTGATGGTGTCATTTCACCGAGCAGAGATGTTCTGGTAACAGCAGAAAGACTGAACCTTGATGGTGACGTTTCCTTTGGTGACCTTCCTCATGTTGAAGCCGACTGTGGGGATCATGTCTTCACTGAAGTGTCCAGACTGAAAACAAAGAAAAACATAAAACACGTACGACATTTAGTTGCTTCAATAACACACATCAATAGGAGAACATAACAGACAACATGGGATCTTTGTACAGTTTCTCATGCTTCTGGTAATAAATGGAATGTCATAATATTCTAAATAGCTTCCAACAATCAGACAGCAGAGAAATCGCTCGTTAAAAAAAAGGTGGCTGACCTATGGAGTAGTGAGAGCGCCAAATTACAAAAATAAATCAATAAAAGAATAAAAAGTGGAAATAAAAATAAGAAGAAATAAAATTTAAAAATAAATGATGTGGCCGTATAAAGCAATATTAGTCACAAATTAATCCATAAAAGAAAAAGCGATTAAAAGTGGAAATATAAAGACAAATTTAAAAAATAATTATTTAGATATTTTTATTTATTTGTATTTGTTTATGCATTTTATTTGTATTTATTTTTTTTATTATTTTCAAGTTTTATTTTAATTTTTTTATTTATTTATTTTTCATAATGTTGCTTTAAAAGCAAAGGAAATATGCACAGACATGTTTTTGTTATTGTTTTATTTTTATTTATCTATTTTCTTATTCTTTCAATTGATTTTTTAAATTCATTTTTCTTAATTTTTTTCATTTTTATTTTTTATAATGTCGCTTTAAAAGCAAAGGAAATA